GGTGGGAGGTGGAGGTGGGTGGTGGGGGAGCAGCAAGGGGCTGGCACTGCCGAGGGGCACGGGGACCCCAACTCACCCACGGAGATCCGGGTGTGCAAGCTCAGCAGCTCCACCAGCGCGTTGTTGAGGATGACGGCCACCAAGGCAACCAGGATGTAGGTGAGGCTCATGTCAAAGACGATGGAGGTCCCTGCAGAGAGGCAAGTGATGAGGAGTCCAGCTCCCCTGGGAAGGGGGGCTAAGGTCTCCTCAGGTTTGAGGGGCCCAGGAAGTGGCTGAAGTCCTACCTGGATATTTATGGTGCAGATAGTCCACATCGGTGATAAAGCTGTTGTACGGCAGGAGAAATCCCACCCCAGCCAGCAGCATGGCAAAGTAAATCCCATGGTATCGATCCTGGGGCTCAGGATCCTCAGAAACTGCCACAGAAGTAGAAAGAAAGATGAAAGAGATGTGACAGAGGCACTCTGCATGCCCCAACCTTGGGATGATAAAACGGTGCTTCCATTCCCCTTACGGCAAATGAGAAGGGGAGGGTGTCCCACCCATAGCAAGCAGCCCAGTGCCCTGCAGACCTCACAGGTAAATGGCCCCTGCCCCAGGAAACTACTTCCCTAAATAAAGGCATTTCAAGAAGAAAATCAGGAGGCAAGAAAACATCTGAGTTTTGGAGACTGGTGACCTTTAATTGCAGTCGAATAACCTGAGAGCCAGGCATGTGGGTAACAGCCAAAGTCAAGGTCCAGGAGGGGCTGGGGAAATGTAGAGGTGGACACGGATGCCCTGGAATATGGAGCAGGGCTGGAGCAAAGCCTGAGCCCTGCATGAAGAAGGGTGAAGCTGCAGGCTGCGGGTGAGCCAGGGAATGAACCCTCAGCTCCTTGCCAGCCTGAAGATCTGTTTGCTGTGGGATGCTGTGGTGTCTCACATGGGTACAAAGAGACCTCCAAAAAAGGCCTTTTTTGAATATTAAACCCATCCCAGGAAGCTCCTAAATAGATGAAAAACCATCAGGGAACGAGGCTGTGGGTTGGGGCCATGCCTGTCCTCACCTGGCTCCATGAAGGTGAGGACACCCTTGGCCTGGCTGCCCCGCTGCAGCTCATCCTCCTCCAGCTGGTAGCTGTCGAAGCTGAAGCTCATCACCACGTTGCCCTCCGGCGTCCCCGCCGGGCTCAGCTCCTTGAAGCGTTCTGCTCCTACTGAGCCCATCGTGGCCAACCTGGGAGGGAGAGAGGTGACACCCCCAGGGTGCACAGATGGGTCCTGGTTCCTGTGTCCCCCCTCCCCAGAGATCAGCCCCCCAGGGGTCTGCAAGGAGCAGATGGCACGTGGGTGACTCTCAGCCTTTGCCATCCCACCCTATTGCTGTAGGTCCTAAGTTTTTTCCACCTGGAAAGATGTTTTCCCCAAGGAGAGCGGGGTCCCTCAACCTGCTGGGCAGGAGTTTGGATGTGGAGAGGTGAGTGGTGATGGGGAGGGGGTGTCCATGTGAGCCACCCCCGAGTCACAGCGCTTGTCCCAGCCTGGCTCAGCAGCTCGCTGGGATGCTACCGATGCCAAACGACGCTGCAATTTCCAAAAGCAATTACAGAAATTAATGGGTGAAAACCACTCACGGAGGGCGGCTGCTGGGGAAGATCCCAGCTGCCTCGGGCAGCTCGTTCTCTCTGCAGGCAACGCACCCTTGCCCTGGTTTATTCCCTTTTTTGCAGACATACTCCATCGAGGGAGAGGATAAGATGTGACCCGGCCTTTAAGGTGAGAATTTTGGCTCTGCCCCTCTGAAGGACAACGGACCAGCAGGAAGATGCTCAGAGAACCGCTCGAGAGACCCCAGGAACATGCTTAAGAGGGTCTGCACCGAATGCATCCCAAATTGAGCTTCCAAATCCCTTCCAGAGTCACCCAAACGCAGTTCACCTCTCTGGGACATTCCCAGGCCCTGGGGAGCAGCTGAGGGCAGTGGGGAGCAAGGGGGGCTGCTCTGTATTACCAGCACCAGTCACTAGATGCCAGCCTGCCTCTGCACCCACAGCCCACCCTGAGAGGGGGGGTGTAAAAAAACCCAAACCTCCTCCAGGCAGCAGGTTAAAGCAGGCAAGGAAGGGAAAAAAAACGACAGTGATTTCTCTGGTCTCCTTGCCAGACCTGGCGTTTGTGTTTTTTTGGCATCTCCCAGTCTGCCAGGATGGGTGGGATGCTGGGGAGACGGAGACTTGGCGTGGATGGCAGACGTGGTGCCCACAGACCCTTCGAGTGCAATCTTGGAACTTAAAATGCATCTGCTCACTGCGGGGACGGGTGGCACAGAGCAGCGCTGCCACAGCCCCGAGGCCTGGATGGGGGCCCAAGCTGGGCTCCCTACTCTGCACCACGCTGGGGTGGGCCCCAGGACCCCCCATCCCAGAGCAACACAGGCAGGATAAACCAGCCAGGGCACTGCTCCATCCCATTGCTCGTGCAGGAGCTGGCTCCGATCCCCTCCACCGAGCATCCTCCTGTGCCTGATGCTACCCCAGGCACTAAAACCCAGTAGGAAGCATCTCCTGGGATGCCGGGAAAGCCTGTTGAAGGGTTTTTTTTCCACAGCAGAGATCCCAGCTGGAGAACACGCCAGCTGGAAACGCCTCGTACCTACTGTGGCCCAAAACTTCTCGGG